TCTCCCTCTCTCGATATATGTATATATATATATATACGCATGCATGCAGTTGGGTGGGTGGAGTGTGAAAGATACGCTTGTGCTCACTTAATAAAGACGTTCATATTTGGAAACACGCACACGCCCGCACACACACACACACACAAATGACGAGACACATGCACACATAGAATTACTTCTGCTCCACAGAAGTCAGCGGCATCGCTGAATGACCGCTCGCCACTCGCGCTGAGAAAGAGCAGCAAGGGTGTCAGAGGCCTGCCAGAGTTTGGTGCCCGGAGATGCCGCAGTTTCCGCGCTTGGAGGATGCACTCTGGGCAGACGATGACGTTGTCGTACGAACCGCGCCAGCGATATGTCACCGGCATTGTGCGGCCCCGCAGCTTTCACCTCTCCTCCTTTCCCCCGCAGCTGTTCAATGGCACCGAGGCGCGTGTGAAGTTTGGACTTTAGGGCGTGGCTAAGCAAAACTGGACTTGAAGCATCGGCCGAGGCATCGAGAAGGGCATGCGCCTCGTTTACAAGGAGTTTGTAGTCCCTCTGCTCCAACGCCGGTTGCGACGCGGCCCACTTCAGTGCAATCGCCACCCACTGCGCCTTCGTGGGTTGCATTTCCCGCGTCTGGAGTTCGCTCCCCAAGGCGACGTAGTAATTCATGAACCCAGGATCCTCACCCTCCTGCAGGAGGTAAAGAAGCGAGGTAAAATTCCGCACAGAAAGCGCGGCACGACTAGTGCCGCCTTTACCCTGTGTGAGAAGGTGCTCCACGCGTTCGCCAAATTCTTCCCTCCAAAAGACACTACGCCGAGCAAACAGCAAATCTAGATACAGACGTTCCTCTTCGCTTAGGGCAATGATGCAAGACTCCTCCAGCGCATGAAGCAGCTTCTTAAAGTTCGTCGCGCGGCATTTGGCAAGGGCAATAAGGCAAACGAATATGTCCTGCGACGACGGCGGGACGGGCTGACCCTCACTGAGTAGCGCCTGGAGGCACCACACCGCCAGCTCCTCGTCCACCGCGTGCCCCGCCACCCGCGCCGCGCTCTGCACGGCGGCGATGGAGGGGGTGTAGTCGGGGCAGAGCTGCCGAATACGCCTAAGCAGCGCCGCCCCCTGTGCGCCTTGCATCGAGGCAACAAAGAAGGCCAGCAACTGCTGCAAAAGCGCATCATCGGGAGGGTTGTGCCCCGCCAAAAAACAAGACTCTGCCAGCGCCGCATATCTACTGGCAAAGTCCCAACGCTCCGCCTTGAGGCACGAGCGCAGCATAGCCACGAAACACGCGGGTGTCAGCCACCCACCCGAGCGGGCGCCAAGGTGACGCTCCCACCACGAGAAGTGTTGCTCGTAGACGTCGGCTTCGCCCTCGTCTGCGGCGTGGTACAACACCAAACGCTTAGACCTTGACCACCAGCCCTCGAAGGACACCTCACCCGGTAGTCGCAGCAGACGAAACGTTTCCTCACAGATGGCACGGTACTGCGCCAGACGCGTCAAATCCTCCACACGTTCCGTCTCAACTTCATCCACCGCCCCCGCCGCCACGACCCCGTTTTTGCGACTCGTCTCAGAAGGGCAGGAGCGCTCGAGCTGCATGAAACACCGCGTGCTTTGCCAATAGATGCGAAGAAGAAGGAGCGGGATGGAGTCACGGGATAAAGGGCCCTGGTCCCCGCCAGCGACCTCGAGCGTAGACACACACTTCTGCAGGTACTCTGGATCCGTCGTCAGTGCCGCAGCATTCACGACGGTGTCACTCAGCGGGAGCGGTGCCAAGCTGCGGCAGCTGAAAAACAGCTCCGCACAACGGGCATGGTGACCTGCGGCATGAGATAGGCGGCAGGCCTCCTTGCACAGGCGCACCTTGCGTGGGTCACTACTTTGAATAAGTTCATCCAGCAGCAACTTCAGTGTGTCTGGGTCTTGATGCCTACCAGACTGCGCGAAGGCGCGAACAGCGGCCTCCAAGCCGTCCAGACTCGTGCTTTCCGGGGTCGCGCCAGGCATAGACGCAAAAATCACCCGCGTGGGAAAGCAGAAACGAGACACGCTAAGCCGTTTAAACATGCTGGCGCATCACTTACCACACGCACGCACACACACGCCGTTGTTCCTCCTCCTCCCTCCCTAATGCAACTGCGCCTTTGAAATTTCAATCCAACCCCGTCCTTCCCAATCCGTCGCGCTCACACAACAGCACAGCGAAGAAAGAGACAAAAACATCCATTACATCTGCAATGGCTCCGATCGTTTTCGCTCTATTCTCCATGTCCCAAGCGTTGATAAGGCCAGAATAAAACAGGCAATTCACCTCTCAAAAGTCGTGACGCACACACACACACACACGTAAAGAAAAAAAATTCGCAAGCTGTTCCACAACCTCCACACGCCCTCTTGCAGCAACTAATACTCACTCCTCACGGCACAAACAAGCAACGCCTAGAGAGGGGGCCTAGAGCGTCTTGCGTGAAAGGGGAATACGCACATAACTCACTTATACTCAGAAGCCGAGACAACTTCACAGATCTCTCAATGGAAGCGGCATCACACAACGCTCGGTTCTTCACCATGTATCCATTGCCCTTCTTTGCTGTCTTTTTGGCACGCATTTTCCTTCCTTTCTTCTTTGGGCATGGTTGCCGCTGTCGTTGAGTTGTGATGCTTTAGAATCGCACGAACGCAATCAGCCTTCTTCAATCGTCGCCGCTCCCCCAATTCCGCCTTGACGAACCCCACGAGCTCAGTTGCAGCGTAGTGGTTTTGCAGCTCAAACTTCGTGATGGCCGGGTCCTGGAGGGATCGTCGTCGCTCGCGCAGGATTTCCCTCGGGACAGCGGAGGGCCGCTCCCGCATGAACTGGTCGAGGTTCTCCGCCGTGAGAAACTCCTCCCCGCCACTTTCTTCTATCCGCATTTTCTTCTTGGGAGACGCTCCCAGGGACGCTTCCTCCTCCTCCTCGTCGTCGTCGTCGACATCGACCGCCTCGTAACACTTCTCGTAGGAGGCGATCAACCAATCGAGCACGCAGGTCTTCCCCTTCTGCCCCCCATCGACCGACGGTGGAGCTGGAAACACGACGTCGATGATAAAGTCCTCGACGGCATGTGGAAGTTCCTCACCTCGTGCACGCGCAGCCTCCAGCACCGCCGGCTGCACCCCGCACGCCAGCACGAGAGCGTCGTTTTCCCTCGGGGCTCTTTGACCCATCCAGTTGTCAAGGGCGTCAATAAGAAACTGCTCCGACAGTGTCGTTGTCCCGTCCGTCAGTGCAAATGCCTCCTTGATGCGCAGAAGGGCCCACATTGGCAGCTCACTCTCCACAACTTCAACAAACGCCCCAAGCGAGGGCGGTACAAGTACACCTCGGCTAAATGCCGAGGACGACTCCGCCGAACTTCCTACTAGCCGAAGCAATTGCTCCCGTTCCTCCTCGTCCAAGAAGAGGCGTGTGATGTTAGCGCGGAAGGCGTTAAGTCCACTCGACAAGACGCCATGGATGGCGCTGCCGGCGTCAAAGATGCGCCCCGCATCGACGAACTCCCCGTCGCTGGTGAGGTCGCTCAGGACCGAGAAGGGCTGCAGACCCACAACATCTAAAAACGCCAGGGTCCGAAATAGCGCGTTCTGCTTCCACACCGCGGTCATTCTCAGCAGTGCGGGCTAACAGAGAGGCGGGGCTGTGATGCGCAAGCGAGGGGTTGCCAGGCAGTTCACCGGCGTCTCCTCACCGATAATAAAGGAGGGCGCAAGGCCCAGAGAGAAAGAGGGGTAAAAATACCCTTTCTGCTATTGAAGGCAGTAGAGCAGAAACAGGAAAAGAGAGACCAAAGTCATATGAATAATTCGGCAGAGCCAGCACCGCGAACAACAGTTCACTGTACGTTTCATGATGAGCAGATTTCACCATGACACGAAAAAGCAAAAAAAGAAGAATAGACAAATGTAAAAAAAAAAGAAGGCATCTGCCTTTATTGCTTTTCTCCATTTCCTTATGCTCTTTTGTGCTTCCCGGCCTCAGGCTTTTCCGCATGATACTTCCATGAAACGGAGACATTTCAGTGACCCTCCTTTTCCTTGTCAGCGCCGCTTCGCCGGACGACAGCCGCCCTCTTTACCGCCACTGTCACAATTTGATACCGCCCACTCCGATCTGGCAGCTTCACAACCCTCTTACGCCTCCCCTTAGACGCGTGCCGCACACCAGTTTCACTTCCAGCGGAAACCACCGTCCACGGCTGCGGCTGAAGCAGCTCCCCAGTGTCCAGGTTGCGAAGAAATGTGCTGTCCTGCGAGCACACGGAGGAGAGATCCGCATACATTTTGGCCGCGTGCATCTCGGTACTCTCACTGGCATGCGCAGAATTACATGTGGCGGCGTAAAACACTGGAACCTCAACCGTGACCCCAACGCTGGCCTCAACAGTGATGGTTGATGCGGCGTCTTTCGTCCAGGCGTTCACGGCCCGCTTCCCAGACGCTCGTATCGAGTGGCGCGCGACACTGGTCGCCTCACAATGCATGATGCTTCCCAGCAACGGCGTCACGCGCACCTCCAAACCAGTGACCTTCTCCACAACATGTGGCACTCGACGAAACCCAATACGTTTTGGAATGAAGTGCCGAGCAGCGGGCACAGCCTTGACAGTCATGTATGCGTCCCCCATCCGACGAGCACCCACGACTTTCCCCCACCCTCCTGACGCACTTGCAGGGGGCAACAAAGGAAGAAAGTGAGGAAAGGCGCGGATGGAGTAAACAAATAGGCGCTATATATACACACAGACACACACATGTATATACCCACAACGGGTGTGGCGCCCAGGCAGCGAGGGTGCGGCAGGGTTCAGCAATGACAGCCAAATCCGCACACATGAAGAGAGAGAGAAAGCGCCGAGGAGAGCGGAAGGAGCGGAGAACGGATTCAACACGTTCCTAAGAGAGAAGGTGTTGGGGAAAAAACAGAGTCGAGGGGGGGGGGGGAAACACCAACTCACCAAAACGGGACACTCTCGTACCCTTCAGCGCCCGCTAGGTGTTGCATGCTAAACAACGCCGAAAGAAAAGTCCTCCGCTGTGCCTTCCCGACAACGTACCCGAAAAAGTAGCTTACAATACCTCCCACAGTCACTTTACTCAAATCACGGATTTGGTGCAGCAGATCATCGCCGGAGACGCTCATGGGGATCGCTGCTCCCACCTCATCCAAATCGGCTGACTGACTTTGCTGTGGTTCCTTCTCCGCCTTCAGCATGGCGGTGGTGCCGCGAAGGGCCGACCACACACTGTCGTACCTTTGTTGGGCATTGGGGTGGTCCGACACCTCCGAAACGGCCAGCACAACACGAAGGACTTCTCGCAGTTTTAGGTACTCACGGGCCACGGCGGCACACCGCTTCCACCTCCTTTTGGCTACCTGGCGCCTTGCACTCATTTCCGCAAGGTCGTCGGAATGCATGCAGACCGAAACCGGCATGTGAAACCGCTTTGGCATCGTTCGACCGCGCCCAACAATGGTGCGAAGGACGGACCAACCTGAATCGTGCTCCTCCTCTACAATCGTCGAGCGCAGAAGATCCCGGACACTTTCGAGATCGGTAACCTCAGTGCACCACATGCGCCGTTTCACTAACTGCAGGGCCAGCAGAAGACCGCTGAGGGCAAATCGTGGCTGCCGGCCTTTGATAATGTCACAAAACATCCGAAGATCTAAAATATCTTCCTCGGAGTGGTCCATTACCCATTGAATAAGCTCCGAGTGAGAAATGTTTACCCTAGCTTGCTGAGGTGGAAGTGGCGGGCGCTGATGGCGATCAATCCCAAGCTCCTGACTGCCCTCCCTTTCGTTAATGCCATTTTCATTTTCATCGCCGGCGTCGTTGAGACTCAATCCTCCCCACGGTTCGAAGTTAGAACGGGAGATACGGTGAACAGCCAGGTACATTTTAAGCAGGGATTCGTCGAAGAGCATGCTCCTCAGGCCAGGTGGGTGTAGCAGGTAGACCCTTTCTGTAAAGTGGGCCCAGAGCGCCACGTTGTCGGGCTGTGTGAATTCATAAAAGAAGGAGTTGAGTGTACCAAGCAACAGCACCTCGCGCACCGGTGTGTATTCTGCACACAGCATAAGCACGTCGTACGGAAGATCCTGGAGCCTGCAATGGCCGGGGGAACCCACTTCCTCCGGCGCCACTTCCAACGGCTCCATTTTCAGCCTTCTTTCTGAAACAATAACGTACTTCCTCGCAGAAAAAAAAATCCAAAACAAAAAACATAAAAGTAAAATAGAAACAATGGAGAAGAGGTATTCCAAACGGACCTGAATAACGAGGAACCCCAGCAATTATCCAAGCACACACACACACACATAAGCGTGTGCATGCATAGGTGCGCGGCCCAAAATATGTGCATGGGGAGGAGGAGGAGGAGGAGGAATACGTGAAGAACGGCGGGTTATCTCAGACCCCCTCAATGTGCCACGCGTACGGAAGAGCGCAAGTAAAGCACCAGAATAGGGGTCTTAATGAACCACCTACATCGCAAACGAAAGTGGGCGAACCCACTAGTCCGATGCCACAAGGGGAGGTCGTCAAAAACTGCACGTGCGGCTGCAGGTACGCTCTAGTTCACAGAGTACAACGACGTCAAAGAAAGAGAGAAAGAGAGCAAAGGAAACACAACAACTAGAGGAGAGAGCAAAAAACAACAACAACACCCGCACCACTCTTCTTACAAGATTGGCAGCCGTAGCAGAACGGGGAGAGCAAATTTCCGCCAAAAGTGAGCTCCGGAAAAAGCAGGGAAAACAACCACAACCACAACCACAATAGAAACAAAGGCACCAGCGACGAGATAACAACAAAAATGAGTGTGCAGACGAGTTAGCGTTGTTCCCGATTTTCATACGTCCAAAAAGAAAGGCAATCAATAAGTAAGGCGACAAAGAGGCCCGCCTGTGGGGCATTGATGAATTCTTCACGAGAGATGCAAAGCGGCTCTGCTGTGGAAATGAGATCGAAGGCCTCCTGCACGACTGTTTCCCGTGAGGGCACCTCAAGCCCCGCCGCCACCAGTTTGGCGTGTGTTTCTCGAAAGAAGAGGTTCACGTGCACAGGACGAAGGTAGCCGCTTCCTTCTATATCGAGAATGTTCCAGAAAAAAAGCGGCTTCTGGCATGATGGGAGAAACTCCACCGCCACTACAAAATCCACAAATTTGCGGAAATCCAGTTCTGAATTTGCCATTGTCACGTTCGTTTCAAAGAAGCGATCAATGAAAAGGGATGAGAGTGGCCCAACGCCCGCAGGGAGGCCATCATCCATCACGGTGGGGAGACCCTTTTTGTACCTTTTCATGTCATCGGCGTTGAGAGTTCCCCGGTTGCGAGTGTCGAGGTAGAGGAACTTGTCATACAAGTTCGACGTGATGGCGGCGCTGAACCAGTTCCGCGGCTGGTCTTCTCGCATCAGTTGCAGACTCACCCACTCATCCATCACCGGGCTCTGCAACAACGCGTCTATGCGAATAAAACCTCTCGACCCTGGATCTAATGCCCAGAAGATGCGCCGACTCACTGCACAGCAGTAGAAGGGCAATATATCATCGGTGATGTCTCGCAGTGCCTCTATCCTCGGCACGAGGTCGCGCACGTAGCTTTCCATTTCCTCTTCGACTAGGCAGCCGTCATTGTTAGTGTCCCACATGATCAATTCTGCCTCACACTTTACGAGGGACACCTGCCTGGCAAATCGCTGGTAGATGTGTACCACCTCTACGCCGCCTGCAGGGGATCGGGGGCATGAGAGGTACAATTGTATGGATGGCCGTGGTTGCATGACGGAGGCCAAATACACGACATTCCCTAACGGCGTTGTGTCATCCAAGCACTCTTGTTGTGCTGATCGCACAGACACCTCTCGCTGAGGTGAGGACTTCGGCGTCGATTCAAAACGTTCTTCCTGCCACGCCTTAAACTTCTTCAGGATTTTCATGTACTCTGTGATGGTTATTGTCATACGCGTCTTGTCAGCACTAAGAAGCTCCCACAACTTGGCATGCATCTCGTCTAGTTGCTCTATTTCCCGGAAGCGCAGATTGAGCTCAAAGGCTTTGCTTGTGGTTCGCAAAAGTCGAAGCGCCTTTTCAGCAGCGGGGTCGCGCCGTCGCAAGTACATAGCCGGTATGAAAGGAATTTTCTGCTCGCCCCATGCCTTCTGCGCTTCTGCGTTAATGCGGGCCACTTCACGGGCCCAGGACTCGGCATCCGCATCGTCCTGCAAGAGTCCCTTCTCCGCGACACATCGGAAGGCCTTAACAAGTGACAGGCAGGCTTCCTCCGCGACGTCTGCCACGGGCATCCAAAGGGCAGGGCGTCGTCCCTCTCTACTTGCAATCCCCTCCTCCCCCCGCTCCTGCACACACACACACACACGGCGAAAGAGCGGCGCAGCAAAAGTACCAAAAAAAAATAGAAAGAAAAGAGGAAGAATTCGGGATGCAAGAAGAGATGCTGTAACGTTGTTTGCACAGCCAACGACAAACTTGGCGGGAACAATAGACAAATCAAAAGCATCCACAAATAGGGAAAGCGTCCCTTCCTTTTTGTTTCTTCTTTCTTCTTTCTCTTGGCTTGTACCGAGACCCCTCGCGTGGCCCCACCAACACAACACACGGCAAGGAGAAGTGCCCACCGCGCCTCCCCCCCCACTGCGTCTTTGCCTCACCCGTCTTCCAGAGCGGACCCGTGGCAACGGACGCCAGACCTCCCTTCATGCAGGAATTCCTCAGAGCACCACCCGCTTCAAGGAGCTGCATTTGTCCGCGTGCTCTCTCAACGCCAACTGCGTCTGCTCAGCGCAGCTCCGATTTATTTGCTCCCGCATGAATAATAGGAGGATAAACACCAATGGAAGGAAAGTCAGTAGGTATTCGCGGCGATGCTCCTCCCGCGACTTCGCCTGCAGGTAAAGAAATCTTTCTACACTTTGTTGTGCACTTAACACGGCCTCGCCAGAGTTTTTGAAATGTGCTTCAAGATCTTGAATGTAGTGATTAATTTGTTCCCCGTACGGCGTCCTCGCGACGTTGGCAGAGGTGTTCCACTGCCGCGACGTCGACGGTGCGGCCGCCGCCTTGGCGTTCGAAGGTGAGGAAGTTGGGATTGGCTTCTCTGGAAGAAGCGGGGCTCTTACCCGGAGCGCGGCCAGCAGCTTGCGTTGCAGTATGCCACCCCAGCGCCCAGCCCCCATTCCTTTTTGCACGGTCCGCCTGTAGCCACAGAAAGGGCAAACAAGAAGTAAGGCACGAAGGAAGAATAAAGAGGCTGCGGGTAGCTACCTGACGTATTCATTTGCTCAGGGTAAAATAATAAAATACACACACACACACATATATATATATATATATAAAGCTCACATATCCTTTCGTGATCTGCCGTACATAACACCTGGTGGTGCAGTGGTCAGCACATATCGTTCTCGTACAGATGGTAGGAACGGTTGCAGCGAGGGAGGGGGAGACGCTGCGGGTGTGGCAGCAGATCAGTGAGGCAAAAAGCAAACATGACTCATCGCGTCGCCTCAGAAAAATAGATGCGTGTGTTTGTGTTGAGGCATCATGTTTGAGAGATGGCGGTGGTGCTCGGTGCAACACGCGGAACTGAAAGTGGAGGCTCGTGGGGCGTGAAAAGCAGCAATAGTTGCACGATTCGTCAGCTCTTCTGAAGAGAACATTTTCGGTCCCCAGACAGTGCACATTGGCCAGAGATGTTTGGAGGGTGAGGGAAGGAGATTGTTAAGGAGCGAGGGTGAGAGAGCAAGGACGCCAGTGAAGTTTAGGCGTGAAGGAAACACTTGCGCAGAGAGGTCAAAAGAGTTTCTTCCGTAATGAAGATTGTGTTCCCCACTCCTCCCATAAATCAGCCAAAGACACAACAACTACACACGTTGCAGAATAAGCATGCAATGAACACTGTCATCCATAAGTACACCATACACACAAATATATGTGCGTGTCCATTAGACGACTATACCTTCTCTTAATTTTCCAGCACTGAACATACTACACAGGAGCGACACGCAGTGATGTGAACCCGCCTTCCCGCCTTGCATCATCTTATTTCTCACTGGCGTCATTCTCGTCGTGGTGGTGGTGGTGGTGGTGGCCTTCGCACTTCATTACGAGCGTTGTGGACAAGCGGGTGATGGACACCTCAATCATTTCATTGGCGGGGGCCACGCCCTCCATGGGCTCACCATCAACCTGCATCGAGAGGTGTGCGGGAACCAAAATGCGTAAACGAGCCCCCTGGGCGACCTTCCTCGCCTTGCGTATGCCCATTTTCACACCAGCCGCGTGCCACACACCGTATAGTGCGGTGACCTCCAGTAGCCCATCCCCAACGTCTGGCGCAAGAAAGCGTCCCTTGTGATCCTCCCAGAGCACGGCGCCACCGGCGTAGGTTGTCACATTAGTCACTACGAGGGCCTTTGCACCAGAGGGAAGGGAAACCAAGGTGCCATCGACGTGTAACTGTAGCTGCTGCCTCGGCAATGCGGTCGAGCTGCACAGCGAGCCACACGCAAAACAGCCGTACCACAGCTTGTTGAGGGAACGCTGCGCGCACAACCTTGGGTGCTTGTTGCGGAACGCGCTGAATTCGTTGGCAATGCCCGCGTCGAAGCCGATTGAAAAGTAATTCATCATCGTTTTCCGCCCCACAGTAGCACCATCGTTGTCGTCGGCGTCGGCCCTACTGTCCCTGCGCGAGTACCCGTCTTCGTTCACGCCGGTCGGGCTGAGAGCCGGCTTCTTTCGGAGCAGCAGCGACCAGCGGTCCATTTTGATTCGCTTCGCATGCGCTATTTGGTCCAAGCGGCGCTTAAACTTCTTCTCGGGCTCCACCACCGGCTTCACGTAGCCGCTGCCAAAGCCGAGCGTTCGACTCAGGTCGTTCCCGGTGCCCATCGGCACGACGGCCACGCACGCCGAGGCGACGGGAATCCTGTTGGTGCTGCGGAGCTCGTCCAGGATGTCCAGCGCCAGGGAGACGGTGCCGTCGCCGCCCGCCAGAATGACAGTTGCGGGGTGCAGGCCCGAGAGGAACTCCTTCGCCTCCGGCACGGCGGGCCTCCCCACAGGAAAAAGGTCAAAGACGTTTGCCCTGCCAAGGTTTGCCACCAGCTGACTACGGACAAACTCTGCCGCCGTGCGTTCTCCACTCGTTGGGTTGATGAGCGCCACAGTCAAGTTATTCCCAGACCGTTCTGCCTTGAGTTCCTTCTGCTCATCCGCCGGCATTTTGCCGCTGCACCAGTGACACTATTTCTTTCCCTTTGTAATACAAGCTGCTCGCATCAGGGCAACCAATGTGCACCCTGGCCTTCAAAACTGCAAAAACGAGACACAAAACCGCAAAAGCACGCACGCAAGCACACACAAATACAGACGTTACGCGACAAGCGGATAATTGCGAGGCATCCCTCCTCACTCCTGCACGAGTTCCCGTCACCCGCGCAAGTTGTGCACCTTCGCTTTGAGTGTGTCGCGCGCAGATTATGTTTTCTATTCCTCGCTTAAGCAGAACGTTTACGCAACCGCTAGTCCCACTAATTCCTTCCTTGTTCTGCTGTTTTCTGTTGTTAAGCTGCATCCTCTTCTCTTGCCTGGGGTAAGTGGGGGGGGGGGCGGGGTCAGTGTTAGCAGTAGTCCCTGTGCATCACGAGGTTTATTTCATTCTTCCAGTACTTCGAGCGGATGGCATCCTCCACCACTAGACGCCGTGCCAGCCCCATTGCCTGCAGCTCATGTTCCAAAAAGCATCTGACGCAGTCGTGCAACGACTGCTTTGCTACGGCTTCCGCAGCTGCTTCGTCCCCCTCCGTGTACTTCTCGGGCGGCAGCGCCTCCCCCACCCGGCTTCGTTCCGCGTCTGTGAAGTAACAGCACCAAAGCTGCTCGAGCAGCATGAAGAGCAGGTGATAACTTGCCGCATATACCTGGTGCACATTGTCCACAAGATACTGGGAGCGGCAACGGCGCATTTCCCGCAGCGACGCCTCGTCACCCGCGGACGCGCTTCTGCGGAGCTCTTCAGCACGCGGGGCGACATTGTCCCTCAGCACAGAAAGTTGCTGCTTGACAAGAGAAAAGGTCCGCAGAAACACATCCCACGGCACCTTCTCTTTTAAGCACTTGTAATGCGACGGTACAGGTGCCATGGATGAAATGGGCACTGTGTCGCCGAGGAAGTTGTGCGCTTCTGCCGCGTTGCTGGAGAGATAAAGCCGAAGCGCTGCGGCCTGATAGACGCTTGCAATCCCCCGGGCGTGAACAAACGAAGACTCATTGCATGGCTCATAGACACACCACTGTAGCGCGTAATGCATCTCGTCGAGGCACAAGTGCCGCAGCACCGCATCCACGTCCGCCGGAGACTGCGATGAGCACGTTTGCAAGGAGGCCCCAATAAGGTCGCGGTCAAACAAGTAGAAACGGTGACACCACACCGAATTGTTGAGGCAATCCCACTGAATAAGGGATGCGGTGTAGTCTAACTCCTCCTTCAGGCCGCACGGGGGGAGTTGTGGGGCCAGGCACTCTTCCCCCCAGCTTTCCTGCACTGCAAATGGTCGCAGAGGCGTTGTGCTCTTCTCGGGCTGGCCGGTCCTTACGGTACAGTCGTCGAGCAGCGCCGGCCACGATGGGGGCTGAACGAGAAACGGAAAGGTGTGCACAAACCAGGCTCGATGCAGCCATACGTGATAGTTTTTATGGTCAAGTATAAATACATTACTGCAAAGAGGTCGTTCGTCAATGTCCGAGAAACACATGTTGTGATGCTGCGTCAGATAGCGATCGAGGAGTTTCAGAGAGGCAATAACTGAGCTGCGGGGCGGGGACTCGGTCCGGGCAAGGGCTTCCAGCAGCAGTTCCTTTCGGTGATGCCACACCTGGAAGTTTTTGTGATTTCTCAAATTAAAGCCCTCTATGGCCCTCAACTCCCATAGCACCGCCCGCCACACGCTGAACGCGCCGGTGGGCCCTTTCAGGTCTGCCTCGGCCGGTAGCCAGCTCTCCACAATCGGCATCAGCTCCTTCCAGCGGGGGTCGGTTCCGGCGCGGGAGCCGCAACAGTTTCCCCATTCCGCCAGCAGGCTTTCCCGCGTGGAGCCTTGGAGGCGCGCGGACCCCATGACAACGTCGCGACGGTCCTTCCACGCAGTGTAGTGTGATTGGCACTGGCGCAGCACAAAGGCCGTCAGCAGAAACCACCTCGCCGACGGCGCAGCGCGGAGAACGCCACTAAACTTCGGGCTAAGGCTTCGATATAGACCCATAACACGGTCAAAATCTTTAGTATATTGAATCCGCAAGACATCCGGCTGCCGTGTGAGCACGGGCTCCTTCGTTGGTTCCACATCCTGAAACAAGGTTTGCAGCGTCTCAACGTTCAGCAGCAGATCCAGCTTCGCATCCGCGCAGGAAGAGTTCGAGGAGGGCACCGTCGTGAACGACGACGACGACGACGACGACGACGAGGATGCTGGCGGGAAGATTGTTGCTGCGTTCGCCCCGTCACGCGCCGCCTTGGGTGGTTGCATAACGTGCACTGAGACCTGTGCCTCTGCAACTGTGTGTGCTTCCTGTAGCTTGACACGGGCGCTTTACTCTCCCCTCAATGCGGCCTCCAGCCGCAAAAGTTCTCCCCGAGAGGAAAAATAAAAAATTAAAGAAATGGCGTGAGGACAAAAATGGAGTGCGCGCACAACCCAAGTACGCAGAGGCAAAATGAGCGCCCTGCCGATGTCTTCAGCACGTCGTTGGAGTCGTCCTTCCTTCCCCTCCTCCGCGGCGTGCAGCGCAGGGCGGAAGAGAGAGGCAGGGCCACGGAAAGGCGAGAAGTGACGATGCGAGGTCCATCGCCTTCCATGCCTCTTCCACACCAGACCACGCCGGTTACAAACACCATAAAATACTCCCCTCTCCCCCAATGAAAAACAAAAACAAAAACAAACAAACAAGAAAGAAACCACATCGCTTCCCCCTGCCTCTTATTTTTCTAAGCTTCCTTGCCGTAGACATACCCCTTCCACAGCCACCAGATCCACTACCAGGCGCCCTGCCGTTGCGTCTGTCTGTAGGTTCATTTTCTCATTTACCAGTCGCCTTGTCTCTGCGACTCCGTCACACGCCTGTCCCGTTGCGAACGCCAACCCGCAAAAAGGAGGCGCCCCGCCTGAGAAAAAGGGAACAACGTCAACTGGAGACACAACAAAAAAAATGAACCAACCGACGCGAGAGAGAGGGGAAATCAAACGCGAAGTTGACGCAGAGGGAGCGGGGGAGGGGGAGGGCAGTGGGGCCGCACGCAGGAGGCTCCTGCACCACCACCGTCATCATCATCCCGCCGCCCTTCGTTCGCTCTCGCGTTCCCTCCGCAAGAAATATCCAGTTGATTGCTGGTGTGTCGGGTGATGCCGTGTTACTTCCAACCAAAGTGCGGTGTGGGTGGGCAAGGCAGCTGCTGTTTCCCACCACAGTGGAGAGAGAACCACCTGCTTGGTTTTGATTCTTAGGCGCCTGCTCCCCCCATTTTTATTTTCCCATTTTCTCTCCCTCTCGCTTCCTTCTCTTGCATGCGTGGGTGGCCACCCACGCAAACATCCCCGGATAAATATGCTAGTTCCTCAAAGTTTTTTTTTCTTCTTTTTGGCTAGACTTCTGTTTTATTTTTTTCCATATGAAGTTTTACGCAGCAGTCTGCATAGACGTAGAAGGAAAGTAATTTTTTTTTCTTTTTTTTCTTTTTCTTCTCGTTCGAACTTTTATCCCTGGAAGTATGACACACGCCCAGCTTCTTTTTTACTTTTTGGGGATGGGGCGACGTCGCGCGCGCCAGCGACGCCTGCCACAGTTCACGCCCGACCGCTCATCCTCGTCACTTGCACAGGCACCCACCGATTTCTTCGTTCCCTAAACACGCGGAAAAGAGAGGGAAAACGCACGTTGGTGTGCCAAGATAGACGTGCACAGCCGTGTTCCGAAATCAAAGGAGTCTGGCGTAGAAGTCGTTGCCCTTGTCATCCACAACAATAAAGGCGGGGAAGTCCACCACCTCGATGCGCCACACCGCCTCCATGCCAAGCTCCGGGTACTCCAACAGCTCAACCTTCGTGATGTTGTTCTGCGCCAGGATCGCCGCGGGTCCGCCGATGCTGCCGAGGTAGAAGCCACCGTACTTCTGGCACGCCTCGGTCACCACTTTTGAGCGGTTCCCCTTTGCAAGCGTGATGAAGCTGCCGCCGGCGGCCATGAAGGGGGCAACGTACGCGTCCATGCGACCCGCCGTAGTTGGCCCAAAGGAGCCAGAAGCCATCCCCTTTGGCGTCTTCGCTGGGCCGGCGTAGTAAACCGGGTGATCCTTCATGTACTGGGGAATCGGCTCATTGTTGTTCAGGCGCTCCATGATTTTTGCGTGGGCAATGTCGCGCGCCACAATGACCGTCCCGTTCAGACTGAGACGGGTTGTCACAGGGTACTGGCTGAGCAGCTTGCGGATCTCGCTCATCGGCTGGTGCAGATCAACTTTCACCGTATTCGAGCTCAGTGAGGAGAGCGGCACATCCGGCAGGTACCGCGCAGGATCCCGCACCAGCCGCTCCACAAACAAACCCGCCGGTGTAATCTTTGCAAGTATCTGGCGGTCGGCGCTGCAGGAGACTCCCAAACCAACAGGGCACGACGCACCATGACGCGGCAGGCGAATCACTCGGGCTTGATGGGCAAAGTATTTTCCACCAAATTGCGCGCCAATTCCAGATTTGCGGGCAATATCCATCACAATCTCCTCCCACTCAAGATCGCGGAAGGCGCGACCGTGCTTATTGCCAGTTGTGGGCAAGGAGTCGTAATAGCGGCAGCTGGCGAGCTTCACCGTCTTCATCGTCAGTTCCGCACTTGTGCCGCCAATGACAAGAGCAATGTGGTACGGGGGGCACGCTGCCGTGCCAAGGCCCTTGATCTTCTCCTCAATGAAGGCTCTGAGGGACTTGGGGTTCAGCAGCGCCTTGGTCTGTTGGAACAGTAGGGACTTGTTTGCGCTGCCACCGCCCTTTGCAATGAAGAGAAAGTGATACTCATTTCCCGGCGTCGCCAACAGGTCCATCTGCGCCGGCAGATTGTCCCCGGTGTTCACCTCCTTGAACATGTCAATCGCTGCAGTCTGGCTGTAGCGCAGATAGCGGTTCACGTAACACTCCCAAATACCCTTGGAAATGTACTTTTCGTCCTCCCCGCCCGTCCAACAAAGTTCACCGCGTTTGCCAAGGACGATCGCCGTTCCCGTATCCTGGCACGAGGGAAGTACACCACCGGCGGCAACGCAGGCGTTCTGCAAGAGGGTCTGGGCAACGAAGCGATCGTTGTCGGAGGCCTCAGGGTCCTCAAGTACGCGCTGCCACCCAGCAAGGTGATCCTTGCGAAAAAGGTGTTGTACGTCGGCGAAAGCCTGCTGCACAAGCACAGTGAGTGCCTCGGGTTTAACCTGCAAAATCGTCTTTCCAAGCACCTCCACCGTCTTGACGTAATCGCCTTCAATCTTGTAGTATTCTGTCTCGTCGTGTTCAGGGTCGGAGGGCTGGAACATCGGCTCGTAGTGAAACTCTGTTGCCGCGACCTTTGCGTCCTCAATCTCCTTGATGCCACGGCACTCAGAAGCCAAGTCGCATTTTTCACAGAGGCTCATCTGCTTGCTATTTTCTCTTTTTTTTATTCCTATTGCTATGCTTGTGACAGAGAGAGTTATGCTTAGAACAGTCGGTGCAATGCCACCTGATGGGTTCCTAAACCAATGCGACGCGAAGGAGAGAGCCGCCCCACCCACCCACCAGTCAGCATGCAGTCACAAGGGGGGCAAACAGCAACACATGAAAGGGACGAGATAAATAGCGACGTTTGCATGTGTGTGTGTGTTTTTTTTCTTTTTCTTTTTGCTTCTTCTTCTGCTTCTCCCTCTCTCTCTCCTTCCCTTTCACTTATATATACACATGCAGAGAAGTATGTCTGTGTGCATGTCTCGGCGTGTCACCCCCCCCCCACACACACACACAAACACACACAAGGTGCACTCCCCTACTCGCATTCCGGAGAAAAGGCGCACCGGCTCCGCCAGAGAAAAACAAAGAAAAATATACACACGTGCAAAAACAACACAAGAACCAAACTCGTGAGGCCGTCATGTATACACGACTCCCAGGACATGCAGTCACCAATATAACTTGTGGAAAACACGTACTGACGACAGGTGCTGTCACGCCCTCTTCCTGTGAGCGTTTTCTAGCTGGCTCGTGTTTCCGAGCGGCGATAGAATAGTAAAATCAAAAGGAGGAACAGGCGCAGTGGGAGGGGACAACAGCACCAGCTAAATAAAGCCAAGTCGAAAGGGTCAGTTGGCATATGGCATCCGCAATAGCATCGGAAGACGCGCGAGAATGGCATTCCGAGCGCCACGCATGCATTGTAGCTCCTGCAACCACGCCTCTATTTGTGCGGGGAGTGGACCAAGCGTCGCATCTCGGGCGCTGCAGATCTCTTCAAGAGCGGTTGTTGTACGACGGTACAGCTTCAGCGTGAGCTCAGCCACCTCTCCAATGCACGCCGCGAGGTCTTCTCCCGCCATGGCCTTGATCGCCTCCAGCAGCAGCCGCTTCGACCGCGCAAGCATGAGGCACTCCGCCTCTGGATACGCGCGAAGGTTACTGGAGGGGGTGGGACCATTGAAAGTGTTGCTTGCGCTGTCATCCCGGCAGATCACACTGTTTATCTGAAGGTCCCTATTCTCCCGACGCAGTTTGATGATTTGTTCGTCTTGGGACACGATATAGACCTGCGCCCCCTCCAACGCTTCCCTGAGTTCCGCGACCTCATGGGCGAGATCTGTGTTTGCACGTGCAATCTCCTCCCGGTCCCGCGCGCGGTTCCGCAGAAAGGCGGACTCCCTTTCCTTCTCTTCGCCAGACGTCGCAAGACCCTTCAAGGCGTCGAACAGTATCTGACGGTACGCCCGCTCGACGCCCCCACCCCAGGCAGCTGCAACCAACTGACGGAGTGCCACGGCCTCAGCTCGGAGTGACGCCACCGCGGAGAGGACTGGCGCAAAGGACTGCATCCACGCCTTTGCCGCATCCAGTCGCTCCCGCACGAACGCCTCAAGAGCGGCGCCTTCACACTCGAGCGCGCGTTGCAGCAATGTGTGCTCTGTGTCGAATGCGTCGGTCTCCCGTGCTGCTTCCCCTGGCAGCGAGTCAAGGGCAGTTGCAAGCAGCTTGGCGAGCTGGTTCTGCTGATGCTGCTTCTGGACAACCTCAAATGAGAGCCTTTTCTGCTCCTTAACGGCACCACGTGCTTCCGTGCTGCGCATTGCCACAACGCGCCCCAGCCACGCAAGAAGTCGTCTACGGAGGAGTTCTTTTACTGTTCTCAAGCGCAGTATCTCCTTCATCTGTTCTGCGCGAATCTGCCGGACGTGTTTCTGCACCACAAATTTTTCCTGCAGAGAATTCAGCGTTTTATGAAGAATTTTGTTCTGCGTCTTCAGGCGAATGGTATGCTCTGTCAATTCAGTCATCAGATAGTTGGCCTGCTTGATGCGTTGATTAACTTCCTCTTGCAGTGTTTCTTTTCCAGCGCGTAGCGACATCACATTAGACGCAAGCACCGCGAGGTAGTTTCCGACGCTGCTGCCACCACGCACCCCAGCGTCAGAAAGAGCCGCATCGGCGAGCCTCAGCCCCCGCCTCAGCTCCTCGGCCTGAGCCGCGAGGAGCGGCAGAAGCAGCTCCCCGCGCTGCGACTGTTCCGCCTCCGTCACGTGGGAGCCATCGAGGATGCCAATGAGCGTTTGACATGCCTCCCGAACTTGCCGCACTTCAGCCGTCTTGTCTGCAATTTCCCTTCGTAGCCCTCGAAGGATCTCCACCGGTTTCAGCGAAACGGACCTCGTCACGGTAGAAGTGGCACTAATGTGGAGAAGTTTCATCGCCTCAGACTTTTCTGCCTTCGCCGTGTTCACCACCAGCGCCATGGGCTTCCGCTTGGGCTTCAGGCGTCGCGAGAAAGTTAAGGAGCCATCTCGTGGCGCGGAGGCGAGGGAGAGCCGCACCTCGTCCATCAGCGCGGCAGACTCCGTCGTGACAGCCTCCAGCTCACGCATTTTTTCCCGCAGATTAGGGATCACCTGCGACAGCGTTAACTTACCCTCCTTCGGCACCCCAAGCACCGCCCTGGCGTCGTTGATGGCGTCCCCGGTGTCGCGACAGAGCAGTGCGAGCGCCTTCCCCACCCTCGCACTATTCGCCGCACTCCGCTCCTGATCCATGACGTCGTCATCGGTGTCGGACTCCTCCGTGCCGCCAAGAGCCTCAATGCCGCGCCGCATCACGCCGCGGAGCTCCTTCACCTCCCGTCCCTTGCCCTGGATGTACCTCGTCACACTGCTGACGACCACCTCTGCTCGCTTAACCGGGTCATAACGACGACCCGTTGGGGGTGCGAAAAAAACAACATTGCCGTTGACTTCTCTGCCCGGGCGAGGAGAGTCGGGGACAAATTGAAGAAATTCCGAGTAAACCTCATTGTACGCCTTGCTAACCTCACTGAGTCGGTTGCACACCTTAGACACGGCATTCACAAGCTCGTCGTGCGTCTCGATAACCGGCAGCTGCAAAATGTATGGCGTTCCCCTGCACCAGTCGCCTAGGCTGTCAGCTACCACCGGCGTTTCCCCCACTCTCTGCCGGGTCAACAGCTGGCGTAAATTTTTGAGTGTTTTGGAGGCTGCCTCACTCTCGCGAAGCACCTCCGTCGCCAGCTGCTGTTCCTTCATCCCCTCCGGGGCAACATCAGCAGGTGCAACAGACCATCCCCGCAACGCCGCGACGGCGTCCCGCACCGCCTTGGCCAGCGCCACCTTCTTCTCAGCCTCTTGCCCCGCCAACATCTTCTGCTCCAGGAAGTGGCTCCTACACCTCGACAGTGCCTCTTGCATCTGGCCCAGCGCCTCACGGAACGACTCCAACACACTCGCGGTGGAAGGTCCATCTGCAGCTAGTCGATGCCTCTGTAGCAAGTGGTCCTGGACCAACTTCAGATTCTCTGTTCCACCGAGGCTCTCCTCCAAGGCAGCCAGGTCACTCTGCGGGCCCCACCGAAGCAGCGGCCACCTCATCTCGTCTAGGTTATCAACTGCGGATGGAGGGTCAGCAAGAGACATTAGCTTGGCTAACTCCAAAACCCTGGACCCTCCCTCTTGCAACAGCCTACAGAAAAATACCGCCACGCTCTTGGTATCATGCAACGCCTTCTTCAACCGTGCAACTGTATCTTCCATTTCAGTGCTTCTCTGACACGCAATCTCCGCTACGGATTGAAAACTTGTCGAAGGCACGGCGTCTTCTGGAAGTGACACCCGCAGTTTTTCAAGCGCTTTACCCGCGTCTGTACAGTCCTTCAGTAATCGAAGAATGAACTCATCTTCGTGCTGCGCCACCTCTCTCGTTGCACTTGTCACTGTTTCGTCCGTCACCTTCGCAGTCGTTCCTGCGAGTCTTTTTATGGCTGTTTCCGCAGCCGCTTTGATGTCCGTTAGTTTCTTTTCTTGTTCTGTGTTCTGCATCTGGAGTTTCTCTGCGTCTTCCTTGAGTTTCATGATGGTGCTCTGGCGTTGCCGAAGCTCCGCTTCGAGTTGTGTAACTTGCCAAGTCTGGCGCTTGTTGTCGCACTCCAGCTCACTTATCCGTGACTCGAGGGCCTTTCGCTGCTTTTGCGAAATAAAGTAAAACCACCGAAAGAAGATTTCCTGTTGCCTGGCCTCCGCTACCTTGTTGTGCAGGAGCGCGACGTTCTGGTGCCGTCGCTGCCGCTGATGTCGGAGCCAAAGTCGCCATCGCGCCAAGTAACGGCGGCCCAAGTTGATGAAGTCCTGGGCTCGGGGGAGCACGACGATCTTTTTGGGCTCACGCTGGCCGGAGCGGACGCTCGTTTGGCGCTGCGTGGTGCCGAGCCAACGGATGAAGTAATCCATCACCGTCCTTCTGGTGGCCTGGTGCCTCAGGAGCACGGCGCATCGCTTGAGGTGGGTGTTCTGCCGCTGCAGGTGGACGTACTGCCTCACCTTGTGGAAGTAGCGCGCCAGAAGGAGGAGATCCGTCTCCCTGCAAGTGTCCTGCAGGGAGAATGCGAGCGCGGCCCTGCTGTGCTGCCGAGGACGCGGCCCCGGCATGGTTCTCCCCTACAATGGGCACTTGAAGCGTAGCACACGGCGTCAAAGGTGTGCGGGCGCCCAAGAGCTGGTCCCCCGCCTCCCCCTTTTTGTAGAGCCGTGCCAGCGTGGAAGCAAAAAAAAAAAAGATACACAGACACAACTGCGTGTGTGTTGCCCCCTGTAGCGGCCGCACTATCCTCCCGGTTATCCCCCTGTCATCGGTGGTTGTGGTGGTTGTGGTGAAGTATCGCAGAGGAGAAGGAATGCCAGTTGCCAGGGGCGGCTTCGTCAAGCAGCGGAGAGGGCGGTATTTAATAGGTACGCCCCCACAAGGAAAAGAAACTTCACAAAGCAACAGCGTGGGTATAATAAACAACAAGACCAACACCAAAGAGGCTATCCTGAAACCGGAGGAGAGGCATCCGCGGCAAACCTGTGCCATGCGAATAAAACTGAACAGCAATAAATAATAAACGTCAGAATAAACATATAGAGGGGATCTGGTGACGCAGAGGAGTGAAAAGTCTCCGGCCCAAGTACGCGCGCCTTTTATGCCACTCCCGGTGCGCTTCCTCTGAGACCAACTCACACGACGGCGGTGATGACGGCCGCAATGTACGGAGGAACTTCACAACCCAGTTCGCACGCGCGCTGCAAGCGCGTACAGTGCCGCTTCTCGTCTGCTTCCCACGCGGACTGCACAAAGTCCTTGTTACGTTTTAAGAGAAAACACAAGGAGAGAACCTGCCACGACCCTGACGCATCTTGGCCAGAGAGCACGCCCCCAAGAAGGAGGTCAAGCATCACGGAAGAGAAGGTGTTGAACAACGAGGTTTCTGTGGACTGCAGCGCATATACGGTCCGCTCCAACTCCGCCGCAAGGCCCCAACTCCTGACAGAAGCCAAACCGCCCAACTCAATAGTGTCCATATCCCCAATGAGAAGCACTTTGCTCAGCTCCAAAATCCAATTCGCGGCACCGTGGGGCGTCAGTTTGTGTGCCACGACAAGGTGAGTCACGAAGTACGAAAGCAGCCCCACCGGGGGAGACTGGGGCCCGTGAAACCAACTCCCCACCTCCCGCGCACACTCGCGCCAGTCCGTGACGGGCAGAAGTTTGGAGCGCAGTATCAGCTGCAAGAGAGCCCCACTGCTCGCACTGGACGATGCATATTCACACTGTGAGGAGATGTTTGTCAGGCCCATCTGTAGTTTTCTGTATCGGCGGAGGGCCTCCTCCTCCCAACCGCTCACCACGACTTGGGTGGCAGACGCACCGCCGTTTTCCTCCTGCTCCCTCGTTTTATGATGACGCGGCACAGACGCCGTCGCCGTCGCCGTCGCCGCGGGGACCAAATGGTTCCAGGACACGGCCGCTGCGTGATGGCGCATGTGACAAGAGCCTCAGACGCTCCAACTGAGAGAAATAAATAGAGAGAAAAAAAAAGAAGGGTCTACGGCACGCCGCGTAACTTCCCTGGTTCCAGGCGCCGTCGTGGTCCTTTTTTGTCTTCCCTCCAGAGAAAGTGGGAGAAGAGGCAGAAATGAAACAAACGAAGAATGCGCAACGTAAGTAACACTTCCACTCCGTTCACAATGCTTAGAAATTTTCAGCGACATTGGGAATGTGAACAGCGCAGCACACATGCCAGAATGCAAACCACACTTCAAGACGCCTACACACACACACACACACTATCCGGGGAGCACTATTGTGACGTCTATCGCAAGCGCTGGGGACATCCTCAGACACTCTCTGGCGACAGACACGCTGCGCACAGCCAGCGCTTCATTTTGTGCGTGAACAAACAAATTTAACGCCCCCGCCTCTCCGTCGTCTTGTCGCATTTCCGCTACAGTGGATAGATTTCGCCAGCACTCCGGGCAGGGGAAGACGGCCCCTTTCACAAACGGTGGTCGAGGAAGGACCTTAGCATCGCCCGGAGATCCTATTCCATGCCCAAGGCGACTGAATAAGTCCTTGTTGCCGTGCTGCGGACACGGCGCCGGCGAAGGCGATGCGTATAAATACACGTCTGTGATGGACGCGTAGCGATGACCACTTGCGGCCGCCACGCCAAGCGCGTTCTGCTCTGCACACCCCCTAAGAATTCCTTTCAGCGTTCTGCCGGCATTGAATTGGCGATGAAGGGCGTGGTTCACCCCCGTCGCGCAGAACGCCGCATCCATGACGTGTGTGGGAGCAGCCAAAGCGGAACGTCGGTGGGCAACCACGGAGCAGGCAACGAGCGTTTTCGCGTCGTCCTCCGCTCCTTCAGCCACCAACGACGCAAGCCGCCGCAATTGATGCTGATGGTGCACCGCCAGTGCGGAGGAACGCCACATGTGAAGCCTCTCGCCTGGGGGGGCGAAGAGCGGCACGGCGTGGCGCGGCTGCGCCAGTGGAACTCGGAGCAGCGTCGTCGCACACACCCGTGACGCCGCGCTACCGCCCCGCCGCATCCACCACCCCTCACCACACCGCTCTCGCAGCGTCCCAAGAGAAAAAAAAAGTAAAAAAAAGAATGGAGAAGACACTGTATTGCAAACGTAAAGGCTGAGAAGGCGGGGCGAACTTGCATGTGAAGAGGAGGTGCGGGCCCCCAAGGGAGCGGAGAAACAGCGAGAGAGACAAACTCCAGGAAATAGAATAAAAAGAAGGGCCAAAAAGAGGCACACACCCGAGCACACTCCGCGCACAGAGAAAGAGAGGGCGACGACGGATGAACCCCACTGCCGCTTACTCGTTACTTGAGGGGGGCAGCGGCCGCTTCCAGATCTTGGCAATAAACTGGAAGCTAGTGGCGAAGGCTCGTGGCCAGAAGCGTACCCCCGTAAAGATGTGCCTTCCTGCATTACTGCTTTCCTCCTCCCCAGCGAGACAAATTCCATACGGATCTGCGTCCTCCTTTAATCGTTGCTGCAGATATTTAGCCTGCGCATCCGTTAGGCGCACGATGGGCGATATCGACTCTGGACTCACTGTTTCGTGCGTGTACGAAAAGGGATGGCATATCACAGCCTCACCCTTGTACTGCTGCTTCATCTCTTTGCTGGAGTTTACACGAGAAACTGCTTCCTGCACAACAAGCTCATTCTGCTGATACGTAAATGAGCAGGTGCAGTATACCAGCGTCCCACCCGGTTTCAGCTGTGCGTAGCCGTTTTGAATTAGGCCCAGTTGGAGCCGCATAAGTGCAGATGACCCTTCTCGAAGCTCCGGATCGGTGTTATCCGGCTGGAGAGCCAAGTTCAACCGTTGCATACGGTGTGCGTTATCAATCCCCGCTGGAGCCGGCGTCAGCGCATCTTCACCTGCGGCAAAAGGCTTCCTTGTGGCGTCACTGAGAAAAATGTGTGCAAGCGATCCATCGTGCGAGCACTCGGCGTCAACAAGGACGCGATCAAATCCGTGATCCTCGTTCATTCTGTCCACGATGCGGTAGAGCCGCTCCCGCGCAGGGTCTGTGGAAAAAGCTACCATGATTTTATTTTCCACCTTCACGCCACTGGATGTCGCCGCGGCGCCCACGGTGGACTCGTGTTGTCGCTTCTGAAGCCGCCGCAGTTGCCGCTCTTCCCACAGCGTTAAGCCATTCCTCCCGCCCTTCGGAGAGGATGGCGTCTCATCGAGAGCTGCGGCAGCCGCCTTCAGAGAGAAAGATGTTCCATCGGCTGCAAACAAGCAAACATTACCTACCGGATGTTTTTTTAGCACCGAACGTGCAGTAAACAAGCGAGGCAAACTGATGTCCGTCCCAACCGCCACGCCTGCTTCGCCAATGGCGTCCGCGATGAGGCTCATCTTCATGCCGGGGGAGCAGCAGACATCCCACACCAGGTCCCCCTGCGACGGACGCAGCGCCACCACCGCCGCCATGGAAGCTGCGTCCATAGCGGAGACAGTGCCACTTTGGTACAAAGCCGCGCGGCACATTGCCACGCCGCGAGGAACGGCGTAGCAATACGGATCTGGGAGCCACTCCACCTCCTCTACACTGGCGGAGGAAATACCAAATGACGCCGCAATCCCGGCCTTGATTTGGCATCGCCGCCGACTGGTTGCGTCCTCGAGCGCGACATTGTCCTCCTCTGCAGGCGTCACCAGGTCCCGCATGCGCTGTGGCCGTAGGCGGATATACCGCGGGATCGTTTCCAGCACTTTGCTCAGCTCGTAAAAGAGCTGCGGGGGGAGGTGGTGGGAGCGGCAATAGCGGACAAAGTCCTCAGTGAAGGTCTCGGGGTATTCCGGAGTCGCCGCATCATACGGGGCGTCCATGCCTCTCCCTCCTTGCCGCCGAATTGCGTTGAGGGGCATCGACCAAAAGGACAAAAAAGAAGAAGAGAGACAAAAAAAAAAAAGGTACGACCACTAAG